GAGGTGATTGCATCGGCGGGCTTCTTTTTGACTGCCCTTTATTTTCTCGGAGCGTCCCTCGTCTGAAACGTATATCATGATTTGATGATACGTGGAGACGACTCCTTGAATGCCGTGAATGAGGGGTCTCCCCATGATCACGTTGTATGCAGATGGAGCATCTACGACCAAAAATTCGGCCATGATATTCCTAGCTGCTCGGCCTTCGCCGATGGTGACAGGAAGTGTAATCTTCCCGTCAGGATACGAGGAAGAGCCGTTGAATCCAGACACCGGGTAGGGTGCGGGGGCCAGGTGCTCGGCTCCCATCCTCAGCTGGTCGAACGCTCCTCGGAAGAGGATGTTCGCCCCGCTACCGCCGTCGACGAGGGTCCGCCAGACGTTGCGGTTGGCGATGCCCAGAATGATTACTAGTGGGTCATCGTGGGGGTATACCACCCCCTCACAGTCTTCGGCTGTGAACAGGATGTTCGGCGCCGGTGACTGGGACTGCCGAAGCTCAGCCTGATGAATCTGATGGGTTAGACCCCTCAGTTGGCGTTTGGCTGTGCCTCGCGAGATTCCCCCGGAAATAACTAGGATGTCGAGGGACTCCTTGCCCTGAGGTCCCTTATCCTTCTTCCGAGCGAAGTTGAGGTCCTGCCGAGAATCTTTTTCAGCTTTTTTCTCCTCGCGCCTGTCCGCGAGGTATTGGCTCAGGTACCCCTTGCGGACCAGATCCTCAATCTGGTCCTTCAGCTGGACGCAGTCCTCGGTGCGATGTCCGGGTGAGTCATGGAACTCGCACCACTGGTCCTTTCCCCTCGTCTGATGCCAGGGAGGCAACGGACGAGGTTTTTTGAATCTCCCCTCGTCCTTCGTCGTGCTGAAAATCTTAGCACGGGGAAGGGAGAGTGGAGTGTATGAATCGTACCTTCCCGTGTAGGGAAAGTGTCTTTCCTTCTTCGGCTCGGCAGCAGAGGACGGTTCTGAGGCCTTAGCCTTCCCTTTCCTCTGCGCCGAGACTTCGGGCTGCTGCCCTTTCGGCTTCTCAATTCTCGGACGAGACTGAGACCTGGATCTGTTCCACTCCTCGGCTCGGATGAACCTATCCGATGCTTCCAAGGCTTCCTCCAGGGTCTGCGGGGGATGCATGACCATGAAGTCCAGGAACTTTCCAGCTTGGAGGCCGTTCCGTAGCGCGAACACGGCCAGGCCTTGATCCAGGCTTGTGATTCCGGATGACTCGTTGCTGAAGCGAGTCAGATAGTCGCGGAGGCTCTCGTCCTCCGCCTGCTGCAGACTCATTAGCTCTGCAGTGGTCTTCTCTCGGCGGTTGGCCGTAGAGAATTTGCTCTTGAACTTGTTGGAGAGGTCGTTCCAACCGGTTATGGAGCCTTCCTTGAGCCCTTTGGTGATCCAGGATTGGGCAACACCTTTGAGGGTCGTAGGAAAGTATTTACACCAGGTAGCCTCAGACCTCGGGTTCAGATACATGTGCCCCTCGTAAGAGGCAATGTGATCCTTAGGATCTGAGGTACCATCGTAAGTAATATGTGCCGGGATTTTGACCGTTGGCACATGCTCTTCCAGAATCCACTTCTGGAAGGGCGAGTTCGATGGAACCATGACCGCCTTCCCCTTGTACCCAGCCTCAGGGACCTCGCTCCCTCCTCTCTCAGAGGTGGAAGTGGTTTTCGTCCCCGGCTGAGACAAGGTTGGGTGGGGTCCGGTATCCTCTGGGAAGGTGAGGCGGCTATGCACACTCACCTCCCTCGAACCCAAGCGTTCGTGAACGCTTTGGCGGGCGAATTCCGGGTCCTTGGAGGGCCCCATGGAATTCTGAGCTTCGGAGTGGTCAGAGGGTTGAGGGTTCCTCCTCCTCTCCTTACTGGAGTTTCGGGTGTCCCCTCGCCACCTCTGGCCGAGCTCTCTATGTGGTGGAACTTGTCCACCATCATCCTGACCGATCCTCCTTTTCAGGTTTCTCGGCTGGTGATCATCAGGCATCTGGATTGGAGCCCCTTGAGCTTTAAGGAACTCCATGCAGATGGCCACTGCTCTGGCCACTTCCTCGGTGGAGGGTCCGGAGGGAGGAGTCTCCCGCGGATGTGACCTGGATTGCACGCTATGGCGCGGCGGGGAGTTCCTCGCACCTGAGCCACTCGGTCTCGGGGATGGCCCCGGCTGCCGAGTGTGGTGCGAGGTGTTCTCCTCCTGGAGGCTAGGACCTCTTGAGGCTTCCCTTTCCGGAGAAATGGGGGCCTCCGATTCGGAAGAGGCTTGCTCCGGGGAGGGATAAACCGGCTGGCGTTCCCTCACCGTAATCTGGCCTCCTCCCTTCTTAGCCTTCTTGGAACTCTTTCCACTCTTAGTCATGGCGACTGCCGGAGTGTTTGATGACTGACGCGAAATTTAGTAGCGTTCCCCACAGACGGCGCCAAATTGTTTCGGATGAAAACAATCGAATCTCGGAAGATCCTTTTATCTTGAGGGAACTTGGTCTCGGTCCGAACGACGCAGGAGCCGAGGGTTTCCTGCACAACAAATACACGTAAACTAGCCTCGGGGGGGACGCCGAGGAAGGCCCCTCCGATGCTTAAGTCAGTATATTAGAGAGAGAAAGCTGTGCAAGAGTTTAGTTGCTTGAGGCTTTATTGTCTTACCAAGAATTGACCAAATTGTTGGCTTTTATACCTTGGCTAATGAAGGAGGCGGATTGGGCCCGGAAGTCAGTTGGGCTGGGCCAAGCTGATTGGGCCGTTGACTGACCTTGACATGGCTTTGAGGATGTTGATTTTTGACTTTAGCACATTTGGAGAGTTGAACCTTAACCTTGGGCTTTTAATTGGATCATTCAGTGACCAGGCCTAATTGGACTAAATTGGACCCAAACATGGAGTATACGTTTAAACCCAAGACTTTTAAGAATTTACGAATCAAGTTAGTTACTCCATCTAAATTAAGTTGTGGATCCACCCTTAAATAAAAAGGTATGGGCTCGTGCCTTTACTTGACTAACAAATTGAACATCTCAGCAAATACCATTATTGATTAAAAGTGGCATATTGGTTAGTGAATGTATTTTAAACTTGAAGGTCACATGCTCTTCGAGTCTTGTAAAGCTCATGCTTTTCGTGTCTTGTAAAACTCATGCTCTTTGTGCATGCTTTGTATATGGTCTTTTTCCACATTTGAAAAATCAAAATAGCTTCCTCATAAAGAGTAACGAGTAAGACATAATTCATATAACATGTGTGTACAATATTTTCACCCCCTCAATTTCAGAACAAGTGACACACTTTTCGTTTTAAAATAATTTAAAACTACCATAAATGCAAGGGATTTCTATTATTAATTATATTTACCATACCCCTCATGGTCCAATAAGTTCTCAGTTTTCACATATTCTTTTTTTTTTTTTTTAAAAAAAAAAATAAAATAAAATAAAATCTTTTGTAAAGTAAATTGACTAACTTTACATTAAACAACTCATTTCATGATCTCCAACTATTACTTTTATAAACCACACGTCAATTTATCAAAGGAGCATGTTAAAGCAAAGAGCATGAATTTAACATTTCTTTTGAAAAAAAGAGCTTTGAGAGGACAAATGATAAACTGGAATCCACAATGCCTAGCTTGTTTATGAGCTTCTACACTCCCATATAAGGTGTTTGGTTTTTTTGGGCATGAAATTGGTGTCCATAACGAAAGAAAGCAAGATAAAGCCCTGAAATCAACCTCAAATGCGGAAAACTGCATGATTTATGTGAATTATATTCTTATGTCCAATTTCTATATACATAAGGAAAATTTGTAAGGTTGAAATTTATGCTTCATCTTAAGATAGACAATTAAGAAAAAAGCTCATATAATTTAAAGTGTGATATAGCATAGTTTCCCATAAAATTTCCATTATAATTACTCCATATATCATAAAACCTATATCATACTTTGCATCTCATATATCTCATAACCCAAAACTAGAAGATCAACCTTTGTTTGGGATTATATTTTAGAGGTAATTTCTCTAGCTAGAAAGAGTTAGGGGGGGGGGGGGGTACCCATATACCCCGTTTGAATGATATTTAACCATCCATAGTGTGGGTTGTACCATTATTTATTTATTTCACATTTTCACATCATATTTCTCATTAAATCATAATTTCGTTCATTCCCCTTACTCCAAATATGTCCTTAATATCATGTTTAAGATGTCATGGGCACAATTAAGTAGTTGGATTAGGTTTCTCAATGTGATTTGCACTTGGTAGTTGCTAATACTACCGGCTTATGTTTTGCTAATATTATCAATAGTTTTTGAGGGTATTATTTAGGAATTTATCACAAAATCACGCATCAATCAGTGTGATCAACGTTTTTATTTTATTTATTATTCCACTTTTTAATCCTTAACATGTTTTTTTAGGGGATAAAAGGAGAGGGATAAATATTGTGGAGAAAGGGATATTAGAATTCCTATGTTTGCTTAATTTTTAGGGAGAGAGATTAGAGAGAGAGAGAGAGAGGGAGGGGACAAAAACCCCACTTATACCTAGGGGGTTGGTATAAGGGTGGAGGGATAGGAATAATAATGGAAAGGACATATTACCCTTATTAAGTAAAAAAGAAGGATAAATTTAGTAAGGGTACATTAGTAACTTTGTTACTTATCCAACTCTTAACCCTAACTTATACCAAACAAAGGATAACACTTTATTATATCCTTATCTTTATCCTATCCTCTTATCCTTATCCCTCATACCAAATGCCCCGTATAGATAGCCGTTATAACTTTATATTATCATGTCTCCTTTTTGAAACATTAAAATGCGACTTATCATTTTTATTTTGAGCAAGAAGTATTAGTTTTCTATAATTCTGTGCATTAGTATGTTTTTCCTAACACTTCAAAATTTCAAATAGATGCTACAAGTAGTTATGATTTTCAAGAAACCTTTTTTTTTTTTTTTTTTTTTTTTTTTTTAATTTACACTAAGGGTAAATTTTTTTTGCAGATCATAACAAAAGATGGACAAGTTGTTTCTACTTGGTCTGATGGTAAGATGCTGCCTGAAAATTATGTATTTTCAACTGAAATGAGACCCGGGGAGCACGTTCCCGTTTCCAAGAATATTCCGGTCATTGATCTTGGAAAGGCGGTAGGGCTTGATCGCAAAGAAACAATTCAAAAGATTATAGAGGCTAGCCAGGAGTTCGGATTCTTTCAGGTTCACAATATACAGCTGCTTGCACACACCCATTCCCCTCTAAAAGACTGAACTGCTGTGTCCTTGCTTTACCCTCTTTAACATATTAACAGACGTTGGCACGTAACTTATTAGTTGTTACATAGAGTACTTTTACTGATGTCATGGTATGAAATAAGCTCATTGCTATTATGTTCATTCTGGTTGATTTGCTTTGTGTATGACAGGTGATTAACCATGGAGTTCCGCAGACAGTAATTGATGACGCGAGAACTGCTTATCAAGACTCCTTTGATCTTCCTACAGAGGAAAAATTGAAATTATGTTCATCTGATATAAGTCAGAAATGCATATATTACACAAGCAATGTCATGTATGATGACGAAGACATTCATGCTTGGAGGCACAGTTTACGACACTTGCGCTCTCCTCTGGAAGAATGCATCCATTCTTGGCCTCAAAAGCCAACCAAATACAGGTTTTTTTCCGAACATTGCATAAAATTTATGAGTATGCTTGTAAAAAATGTACCAAGTATAACATATAGTATTTCAGGGAGGTTGTGGGGAAGTATGTAACTGAAGTTAAAGAGATGGGAACAAGAATTCTGGAGCTCATAAGTGAAGGACTAGGGCTTGGAGTAGGATATTTTGCGAATGAATTGAGTCAAGAACAACATATGAGCATTCATCGGTATCCTCCATGCCCTGATCCTAGTTTAACCTTGGGACTCAAGCCGCACTGTGATACAGGACTCATTACCATACTTCTCCAAGGAACTGTCGCGGGGCTTCAAACGTTGAAGGATGGCCAATGGATCGGCTTTGAGGCAATTCCTGATGCATTTGTTATTAACATTGGATACCAATTACAGGTATATATATTGATGTTTCCTCAAAACTTCTTACTGCTGTACTAACAATTTCCTGTCAAATTTCTGCCAAATTTCTCATGTTTCATTTGCAATTTTGCTTCAGATGGTTAGTAATGGTAAGCTGCATAGTGTGGAGCATCGAGCAGTAACGAACAAAGATGAAACTCGGATGACTGCTGCCTTCTTTATAGAGCCAAAGAAAGACTGCATTGTGGACTATGTGGAGCCTGCGAAAGCATTGATTAATGCTGAAAGTGTAAAATATGCCGAATTTGTTCAAATGTTTAGGGCAGCCTATTCAGGGAAGATTAAGAATGCATTAGAGCCTTATATGATAACATCAACATCATCATTGTTAACCGAGTAAGGCTATGTTTCAACTTACTTAAGTTGATAATTTGGTTATTTAAGAAATAAATTAGACAGATCTTAATTATTATTTTTTTTCTTTTTGCGTTTATTTATCGTTAAATATAGTTAATTTGGTACTGAATACTATGTGACAATTTTGATATTTTTTTGAAAATGCATATTAATAAAAATCTAACAACATTTGATAATTATTATCTTATAGAATAGTGTATATATAAGGTTAAAATTTGGTCAAGTTTGAAAATCTAATCAGACCATGCTAAATCAGATGAATTTACCATACTCCATAGCTTAAATCAAAGAATAACTTGTATATCCAACAACAAATTTCGCTTTGATTGCTGATGCATATATGTCATATATATGATATATTGATAGAGTATATCAACCAATTCCGGACTTTAACAATCAGCTTAACTTTTTAGTGCTCTCATGTGAGGGACGTGATAGAGTATATAAACCAATCCCGGGCTTTAACTATAAGCTTCAACCTTTGGTTGAGTCCTTAGCATATACTACGTATCTTATACTCTATTTGGGGTTTTTTTTTTTTTTTTTAATCAAACTTTAAAAATTTTGACCGTATTTTGTAACTTATATATATAAAAAAAATTATAATTTGTTTGAATATGTATTTTCATAATACTTACTTCGTTCTTTTAATATTATTACAAATATGATATTAAAAATGTTAATGATCAAAATTCTATAGAGACCGCGTAAATTACAAGTACTCGGATAGAAAAACTAAAAATGAACGAAGAGAGTACAATAACGGAATAAAAGATTACAAACTAAGGAATTACGAAAAGGAGCTTTATTAGCTCCAACGTTACAAAGAGTACAAAAAGACCAACATCCTTACAATAAAATGCCAGCTTGAAAACCCAAGTATTGTTGGCTATGGATCCCCATTTCCATTGAACATGGGAAAAGAACGGAATAGCAAATAACGCTAGACTATTGGTATACATGAATTTGAGCTCAAGAAGACACAACTCGGTACCTTTAACTGTGGGTACAATGATTTTTCAAAGCTATGAGTATGCAAATAATGTATTCTAGACGTAAATAAAAACATATTTGTATTTTCAAAATTATATGTTCTTGAAATTGTAGTTTGGTTCAATGTTCTCTACTCTCTGTGATAATAGTCAACTACCATTCTACGAATGCTAACTAAAAGAAAGAAATAGGATTGTGAGAGAATGGTGAAGCTAGAAATTACTCCGAACAACACAAACTTTGATCGCACCCTTTTTAGATAGAAGGGCCAATAAGGATTAAACCAACAAACTGTCAGCAGTATAAGTATAATTGCTCTAAACCAATTGAGCCGAACTCCATACAAGCAAATATAAGCATTTTTTGGCTTATTTTCACATCCAAAAATAAAATTAACATACGTTACACAAATTTTACTCAAAAATGATCCATACAAAAGTAAATATGGCACTATGTTGAAAGTTATTGACTATTGTGAGGGAATACAGAAGAAACCTTTCTATACTTAAAGCATACAGCTTCAAAGTTTGAATCTTTTGCCAAAACACTAGCATAGAAATGTTTAAAACAAAGGGCGAATCAGCCCCTTGACCAAACAAATCTAGGATAACTGTTTCACTACCTCAATCAACAAAGCTCAGAAGAAACAAGGAGATCCTAAGCAAAAAAAAAAAAACATCTTTATACCATTACCTCATGCAATGAATTCTATGATATCAAACAACAATATGATTCATTCAACATCTCAATCAAAATCACTTCAGGTATGGTCAACTTCTAGACACAATGGTGTATTCTCGGAGCACAAGAAATTCTAGATTCTAAAGGGATCTCGAGAAAGGTATTACACACAACGTTATATGAAATATGTTGAAATTGATTAATTAAACCTTAAATGGAACAACTCTGTAGAAATCCTCAGAGGACAACCTGAGCAACAACTTAACTGCGATGAACTTATGCACTACTTAGGTCTGGTTGGTGCTCAAGTTGTTGGGCATGGGAATGCCAAGCTGATGATTGATTAATCCGAATCTCCATAGGTTTCCCCATCATCAGAAAGTTCATCAAACGATCTCATATCGAGTTGGTAGCGGAGGATTCCTCCAATGCCACCAAATCCCCTGCAAAATTGTGATCCCTCTTGGGATTTGTTAGTGACAAATTCGAGGGAGCATCCAAAGTTCTTGTACTCATTAGCAAACCATTCCAGCAAAGAAGTTTTTTCCTGCACCTCCAACTCAGCATTAGTTTCTGAGTCCCGGAAATTGCTCTGGTCAGCCTCTTGCTCCTTGTTCAAATGCTTTACAATAAGTTCACCAGTTGAGGCATTTTTCAGCGAGTATCTATTGATATCAAGATTTTCCCAGACAATGAGAATCTCAACAGCCCCCATTTCCAAAGCCTTGAGCGTATCTTCAACACCAAAAACATACTTACCTGTATCCTGACTGATCTCCTCAAAGTACTTTCCTATCAACTTCTTCTCCTGAATAAACTTCACATTAGCAAGGATTTCAGCAGACAGCTCTATTGCCTGGTTAAAACCATTCTCACCGCCATAAGAAACATCTACAACATTTAGAATCTTTGCCTGAAGGCGAGGATCGAACATGTCAGATTGACTGAGCTCAGTTTTAAAGTCGGCTGATCCAGCAAGTATAAGTCCTGAAACATTAGGCTGGCTTGTAGCAGGATTAATGAAAAACTGAGTGGCGAGTTCTGCAGTCTTCCTCACATAGTTATGCCGCTTCTCCATTCGAAGACGAGCAAAACGTAATGCAGATTGTCCTCCTCTGCCGTGTTTCTTTGGGAGATCAACGGTAAATTTGTGAAGCACCTCCCTGGTATTCCCACTCAGAGTCCCGAATAAGGTACCATTACCATCCATGACTATAAAGCCAAATTTATCATCAGACTCAAGTAGTTCATTCAATGCCTCTGTATGGAATTTGTTGTCACACAGATACAGGGAAGCATTTATTGGCCTGAAAGGCTCAAAATCAATGGTTACTTTCTTTTCTTTACCATCATCAGTTACAATGGTTCCGGTGTATAGAACAAGCCCATTAGGAGGAACCTTGTTGTACAGCTTCAATCTCTGTTGTGCAGATGTAATAGCTGCTAGCACAGATTGACGATTCACCCTACTCTTGATATTGGAAGCAGTTCCATACTCATCACCCAACATCTTTGTAACCCTAGCAACTTGATCACGCGGAGGCATGATGAGGGAGATCATGCTTGTTCCATTGCCCCTGGCAGCTTCCAGTGCCTTGATCAGCTTTTTGATCTTCCATATTTCAATATTCTTGTCAGTCTCATGGCTGTCTGACATCTTAAACCAGAATTTTGGGTATATTCACCTGCACAAACAAGCCTCCCTCAGTCAGTAATATGAAACCACTCGTACCAGGTACCAATTACATGGGGAACTATAAAGTAAATACTTTGTATTATTTCTCAAGATAGTAAAATATAAGACTTTGATTCATATAGCCGACCCCACTTATGGGATTAAGGCTTTGATTGATTGATAGTAAAATATATAGATAGGTCAGAAAGCCAAAACATTAGAATTACAAGTGAAACTACTAATTAGTGAATTGACTAAGAATTTCAAACAATTTCTAAATGTTAAGTTTTACAACAGATGAACCTAAGCTAAATGTTAAGTTTTACAACAGATGAACCTAAGCTACATATAATCACAATGATCACATACTCTCATGAACTATCATAATTATGACCAGCAGAATCTCCAACTCTAGTAGTTAAACAACCATTAAATAGAAAGTCCAATACATTTGGTAACAAATCAATCCAGTATCGAAAACGGTTGGTGTCCTAGGTGACTTCATATAAACAGCAAACGAGCGTTACGAGTCCATAACAAACATAATCCACAAAGGAAATAATTGGCCAACAAAGATCTTCCTAATATAGGGGATTGCTCCTTTGGTGCTATCATTAGTTCGGTTAACAAGAACTTTAATTGGCAAAAAACGGCAAGATTATATCCCCCTGGAATAGAATTAAAGTTAAAATAATTTCCCACAGCTCCACAAAAACCTTAATCTGGGTTCACGATCGCCGCACAACCAATTCATCAATCACTGAATCAATTTGCTACCGACTGAATTTCCTAATTTCCCATAACTCCTTACAAACCTTAATCTGGGTTCATGATCGCTGCACAACCAATTCATCGATCACTGAATTGATTTGCTACCGACTGAATTTCTTAATTTCCCACAACTCCACTACAAACCTTTATCTGGGTTCAAGATCGCTGCACACCAATTCATCGATCACTGAATTGATTTGCTACCTTTCTCACCCACAATTTTTTTTTTCTTGATAATACTCTAAATTACAAAGATCAACACAAAAACTTAATCATATAGCTATATAGTATGAGATCAATTGCTAAAAATCCCTTTTCAGCATAGATTAAAAAAAGGGAAAAAAAAACTTAAATTCAGAAATTCAACTCAAAAGGTACAATGCAATTTAAAAAACCAAATTGAAGCAATTAACGGTAATTATATACCATAATTCTTAAACCCTTTACACAAATTTAAACAATTACAACATGAATCCATTCAAAAAAAAAATTCAATTCAGCATTTTTATATCAAAAAACCTCAATCTGAACAGAAAGATACAAACTTTCATCATAAAATCTACAGAAACAAAAGCTATAAGAACAAAATCATCAATTATATACAATCAAACTGATGATAATCTTGTAATCCGTACATAAAAACCCCATATTCTGGAATTTACAAAAGCAGTAAAAGATGATGAAAATAAGAAAAAGGGGAGGAGAGAGAAAAACCTGGAAAAGATGAAGGGGGGATCTGAAGGAGAAAAGCTCACACCGCCGTCGAATGAGCTTTAGAAAAACTAAGGGGACGGCTGCGTTGTAAAAGGGTCTTAGGGTTTACTCAATTTTCCACTTTTATTGTTTGAGATGTGATGAGATTATGGACTATTCCTCCGTTCCTTTATTTTTGCCCCATTATCATTTTTAGGGTCAAATTTTAAAAAATTTTGATCATAAATTACCGTTAATGTATAAAAGATAATATAATCATGAGTGGTCTTGTTAGATTCGTCTCATTGTATATCTTATTAATATCACGTTTTTATAATTTTTACGT